TACAATTTATCCTAAATTTTTAAATATTTAATAATAATTTTCATCAGTCAATATCATTTTTCGAATCTCAGTGGAAAATATTTCTCTCGAAACATGTATGGTGTAGATTTTTACGCACACAATTTGCAACCCACTACTTTAATTTGTGTGATAAATTAGTTACAATTGAGAGAGAGAGAGAGAGGACTTAGAATTTTGGGCTCAATTAGCTTTTCTAGAGTTGACTTAAAGTAATTTGAAAAGTTAAGAATTTAAAAAAAAAACAAAAAAAACAAACATACTATACAAAAAAAAGTCAAAAATTATTTCTCTTTATTTTTTACACATTTTATTTTTATAAAAAGTTAAAAAATTATCTCAAACATATTATTTTTTTACCTCATATTTTAGTAAAAAAATTACTAAAATAACTTGTTTCTAAGTGACAATTTTAAATGATTTTTTTAAAACATTGTTTCTTGCAAATATTATTCAAAATTTAATTTTCTCACCTCTATTAGATGAAAACTATTAAATTGGGTTGGTTGAGATGATCTAAATAAATATACTTTTTGACTTTTTATAAAAAGATGTGTAGAAAAGTAACGAGGTGATGTGATCCAAACAAGTGCACTTAAGAGATGCTAAAACTTTTTTATATATTGGGGGTCAAATTGATATTTTGGAAGGGAGTGAAATAAAGTTTTAAAATAAATTTTGGTGTCCATCAGCAACTTCTGTTTAATTATAAATGTAAGCTAACAGGACAAGTAAAATTGATTCAAAATTAAATAGTTCAGATGTAAAATCAATATTATTGAAAAAATATGAGTTATATTGATTTATGTTAGGAAAAAAAAAAAATCCAATTTAAGCCCAATCAACAGTGATTGATTGACAGGCTCAAACAAATTTTGATAAACACAAAAAGATAAGGTTTTGTGGTTGAGTTCTATACCTTAAACAGATTAAGAACTTCCCTGAAGATAATTAAGTAAAGAAGGATTTGAATAGAAAAGAATATGTATTTATTCAATTAAATTATCACTTGCTATCAGTTACAATAACTCAAATAAGAACAAAGAAATGAAAAAATACAATAATCAACAAGAAGAAGAGAAGTGAGGGTTGGAAAAACTATTATTAATCTACTCCTAACAAATGGTAAGTCAATTACTCCTAGATAAATATCACGTTTTATCCATGGTGGTTGCGATGATTCCTTCCTCTTTATACCTATCTTGGCCTATTTATAGGCTCAGTTACATGAGAGAAAGAGATAACCTCAGCTCACGATTTTCTCAACAAGCCCATGATTTCTTCAACATTATCCATATCCCATGTTTGATAGGAATCATTTTACAGATTTGGTACTTGATTTGATCTTGACTCCTTGATCTCAGCAACTAACTTTCAAATTGCTGCAATTGCTAACTTTCCGGCCCTCCATTTAACATGTCATCATGCCAGGTTCTTAATACATCTGTCATGCCACGTTAGCATGCCTATTAACAGAAATAATAACAATAAAAACAAATGTGGTTAAGGTTATTCTTTGAAAATAGTTTATAATGTCAATTGACTGATCATAATCGAACTTGGCCATAATTAATAGGCCACAATTGACAGAAAAATAAAATGTGATGCAAATAATGTCCCCTCATTTAAATGGATTGAAGAATGAAATCCGATTAAATGATTTATAAGGCGGTTTAGCACAATCAACATAAAGTATTTTATGGTGCAAATAATTCAGATTCTTGAAGAGTTATATTACATCCATAATAATTTTTAATCTATCATTGTCGATTTGGCGAACACTCCATCTTTGGCTTTATCGAGTGACATAGCAAAGAGTATATCCCTTATTTTTAAAATAAAGCAATGCTTTGTTAGCCACATTTTGGCTAATTAAAGAGAAGTTATTACATATAACCTTTTTCATCCATTGTTGTTTTTCAAACCATGTCATGAAAATTAATTTTTGGTATGATCCACATGTCCAAAGTGGATGTTGGATACCAAAACTCACATGATTGAATGTTATGAAAAATTCATAAATTTTGACACTTCGAATAATGCCAAAAAATTCACATTCAATGAACGTGAATTCATAATTTTCAATCATCTTTGGCTTAAAATCATGCCTCACAAGTAAATTTTTACCATCATTTTGTGATATTTTTTTAACATTTTTTGAGAGAATGGGTTGTTCTTTTCTTTTTTTTTCTAGTCATTAATGACTTGTCACTTTTTGCCACATTTGCCAAAACATCATGCCCCCCAAGTGAATCTTTATCATCAGGATTCTCAATATTTTTTTAGAGAATGGGTTGTTTTTTAATTTTAGCCATTAATGGCTTATGAAAATTCTCCAAAATCATATTATCTCCTTGACTTGATGTGCCAACCCTTCGAGCTACATACCTTGGCTGACTCTTCATGAATGATTGGCTCTTAAAAAATATGTGTGTTAACCATATGAGCCACATTATTTTCATATCTTAATTTTCCATTGGCCATTATGCCTTTTGATTTTTGCTTCAATATAAAATTTCTTCATCAATTAGAAAAATTTGGCCTTTAAGTCGATGAGTTTTTTTATCACAGTAATTTAAATCTCTTTGCGTCAAATAATACAGAGATAATGAAATTATTTGAAAACTTTGCCTATAAAGAGAATTAGTTTCTTCTTTTAGGGCTAAAATTTTACTCCCGTACCAATAAATTTCATCCTCACAACGCCAAATCATTCTTTTCACATCATTTGGCATGCTATTATGTTGACAATAAAGTGGTAAAACCACCACCATAACACTGACAATTTTTAGAATATGAGGCATTCCACTGATAATCTATCTCCATAGGAACACTGCCACTCCATTGGCGGTTTGTATCCATGGGTGCATATGATGTAAGCATACCTGTTAAAGGCATGATTCCATAAGGATAAGTTTGCTTCTTCATCATCATCATTCCAAGTTAGAATGGTCCTACCGGGCATGCCAATTTATGTTAGCAAAAAAAATTTAGTTTAAGCCTGATTGACAATGATTGATCTACAGGCTTAAACAAATTTTAATAAACACAAAAAGATCAGGTTTTGTAGTTGAGTTCTATGCCTTAAATAGATTAAGGACTTCCCTAGAGCTAATTAAGTGAAGAAGGATTTGAACATAAAATAATATATATTTATTCAATTAAATTGTCACTTGCTATCAATTACAATAGATCAAACAAGAACAAAAAAATGAAAAAATACAGCAATCAATAGAAAAAAGAGAAGTGAGGGTTGGAAAAGCTATTATTAATCTATTCCTAACAAATGCTAAGTTAAACTACTCCTAAATAAATATCACGTTTTGTGAATGGTGGTTGAGATGATTCTTTCCTCTTTGTATCTCTCTTGGCCTATTTATAGACTCAGCCACATGAGAGAAAGAGATAACTTAAGCCAACGATTTCCTCAACAACCCATGATTTCCTTAACATTATCCATATCCCATGTTTGATAGTAACCATTTTGCAAATTTGGTATTTGATTTGATCTTGACTCTTTGATCTCAGCAACTAACTTCAAATTGTTGCAATTGGTAACTTTTTAACCCGCCATTTAACATGTTATCTTGTCACGTTCTTAACATATCTGTCACGTCCCAAGCTCCGTGACAACGCCGCACACTCATTTAAGTGAGCATGCAAGGCTAAGAGTCCAACACATAACTAACAATGTAAAATACTCCAATCAAATCCTTAATTATCATAATACTAAAATCCATAAAAAAAACTGATTATTCTTATCATATGAAATTATCCACCAAGTCCACTAATAAAATCCATTAACAAAACAAATAATCCAAGTACTTAAATCATAGTCCTACTCTCGGCACTCCCATAAGTAAAAAAATCCCGCTCAGCTCTACTCTTCAGAATCTGAAAAAAATAAAATAAGGGTAAGCTCGACAGCCTAGTAAATAACCAACCATCACTGCCAGCTGGATCAAGTATAAAAAAAAAAATAAATAAATCGATAATCAATAAATATAAATTTTTCTACAGTTCAATAAATGAACAATTATTTTGTAAGATGGTTTCATAGCTAAAAATAAACAATGTACAATACATTTTAAATGAAAAGCCAACAAGATAATTCAAAGTAATTCATTGTTCAAATCAATGGTTCGATATTCAGATGGTTCAACGATTTGATTCACAAAACCCAAGTCTTATTGACTACAGTCACATAGCCCGTGACAAGGCCCAGAACCACACATAGGCCGGTGGTAAAGCCCCAAAAGAAACTAGTTTCTGTGCCAATAAATAACCCCCATTGGCTAGGGTCCAAATCATAGTCAGACCAGAGTGATGTTCAAAATTCACACAATACACAAATTTTAAATAAAACATTTGATATTTTCAGAATAAACGTTTAGTATAATTTTCAGAATAGTTTCACCGAATATTCAAATAATTTTCATAATAATATTCGATGTTGTTTTATACTTGACCCATATTTTATTTTAAGAGAACAGGAAAGCTACGAATAAATATTTATGATTTTAAACGATTCGATAGGATTAAAAATAAACCAACAGTGATAGAAGGTTACTTACCTCAAACAGCTAAAATAAATTTCCCAAGCTAATCTCAAATTACCAAGATCCACCTCAATCTCACAAACCTAATAAAATATTATACCACATAAACAATTATTATTGATCACCATGATGCATCTATCATTCTTTTCTTTATAATGTACTAATCTAATCCTATAGTCTACAAGTAAATTCCAAAACCCCAAAATACATACACCCAATCAACATACAAGATACTATGTCTAAAGAAATAGTTAGGAGTACCATAAAAACAAATCTTACCTCCAAGAGATGATTAGATCAAAGTCACCAACCTATGAATCTTCTTTCTTTTCTTTACTTCTTCTTCTTCTCTCTCCTTTTTTTTTTTTTTTTTTTTTTTTTACTCCTAAATCTGCCGCAGCAGCCACACCATCCAAAACCTCTATTTGTTTGTGCTTATATGTTTCCAAGACCTAAAGCCCAAGTGGGCCTATAACCCAATCTCCCAAAATTACAAACTTAACCATCTAAGTAATAAAAATTAAAAAAAAAACCACCTCATAACTAATTCCTTGATGTTACTAAAATGACCCATATAAATTAATTTAATTACTACTTTATCCAAAAATAATTCTACACATAAAAATTTGGATTTTACATTCTTCCCCACTTAAAAGAAATTTTGTCCTCGAAATTTGACATACCTGGAGTCTCAAAAAGTTGTGGATACTTTTGTCTCATTTCATCCTCAAGTTCCCAAGTAGCTTCTCTTTCCGAGTGATTACTCCATTGAACCTTAACATAGTGAATGACTCGACGCCTCAAAACCTGTTCCTTCCTATCAGCAATTCGTATAGGGTGTTCCTCATATGTCAAATCCTCCTTAAACTGCAACGGTGCATGATCAATCACATGACTAGGATCCGGTATATACTTCCTTAACATTGAGACATGAAAAACATTATGAACTCCAACTAGTGAAGGTGGTAGGGCAAGTCTGTAAGCTACCTCACCAATTCGATCTAAAACCTCAAATGGCCCAACAAATCTAGGACTCAATTTACCACGAACACCAAACCTCATTACTCCTTTCATAGGAGACACCTTAAGGAATACATGGTCTCCAACCCCAAACACCAAATCACGTCTCCTGTTATCTGCATAACTTTTCTGTCTTCAGATTGACAACTTCAAGTCAACATCTCTTATTCTATCGGGGGGGGGAAGTTACTTTTTCTCAGAGTAACATATTACTTTGTTTGACAGTTACTCTGTCTTGCAGTAATAACATATTACTCTAGTTCACAGTAACATGTTACTCTGGTAATATTATAACAACCCCGACCTCTGATTAACGTTAATTCATGATTAATTATGCCTAATAAGTAATTAAGAAGAAATCCTGAGTTAATTGCATGTATTATGTGCTATATGGGTGAATTATATATATATATATACAGAGAGAGAGAGAGAGAG